TAAATTTTAGATTATTTTTATTTCTTTATCAGATTTTGAACGATTAATCGTAGCAGAAATATAATGCAATTATGCTCGAAAATGATAGATTTCTCACTAGCAATGAGTTATGTACAGTACTTATTATATATTATACGATATTTAGATACATTATCAATATGATTTGTTATTTCTTATACAGTTTATTCATTAATTTCGTATATAAAAATAATAAATAAATACACCTCAGTTACCATTCTAAATATTACTTCATAAATATGATAAAATACAGTCTCAAAGTTCAATGTCATAAGTGTTTTTTATTTGTCTTTCTTTATCAGCCAAAGATAACCTTAACAATCTAATGATTAGCGATATACTAAAAACAATCACAATTGAATAAAATTAATCTTATTTTGTAAGTTACATTAGAATATTTAAATAATAATATTGTATTTAAAATTTATAATAATATTTTAGTTTTCATTCTGTAAAATTAATTGATTCATACACATAAATTTTAATTACTAAACGTTAAGTCACCGAAAAAAAGTTACTAAATGATCTTCAATTATGGATAAAATTTATTATTGTTCATTCAATGACGTAATTCAATATTTTCCTCAAATCAGACGTCATTTAACAGGATGTAATTCATTAATGCTATTATTTTTTTAATACCGAATAAAATGTTTGGCCTATCATAACTTACTTATGATTATAATATTTAAATTTTATTTACATATATTTATTGTTATAATGTTAAATATATTTACATAATATATTATATATTATGTAATATATAATATATTATGTATTACATAATATATTATATGTATTAATACATATAATATATTATATTTTATGTAATAAATATATTTACATAACAATATTTACATAACAGATCAGATAAATTAATTAATAAACAATAATGAAATTTATATTTCATTATTGTTTATTAATTAATTTATCTGATCTGTTATATATTAGCAAGATTATTATTTATATGAAATGTTGATAACAATATTTAAATTTAGTCAGTTTTAATGAATATTCAAAATTAATTTTATCTTCTTAATTTTTATTTAAATCATAGTGAATAAATTGAATGATAATTATAATTAAATATTAATTTATTTGATAAAAAGACGTTTGTAACAATATTGTTGTATAGATAATGACATGTATAGTACTTACATGATGCATAACAACAATAAACTTGCAATAATTGTAATCGAGGTGAAAGGAGTAAACTGATGTAACTCCATGGCAAAAGAAGACTTACAACAGTCAACTAGAAATACAGTTACCTACTGGACGATTTTTATACAGGAGAGGATGCTAACTCTGCCATCTATGAAAAATAACAATTACTAAACCTCAATTGCAGCTACAGTATTGTACAGCACATGTACAAATAAACATTGTTTCATTTCGTTTTGTATACTGTATTAACAAGTGAAATGTATTTACAGTCGACCCCCCTATAACACTGTTGATAATTCCGTTTTATAAGAATTCCATGTTGTACGAGTCACTTAGATTTTACAAATACGTGTGCCGGGCTATGAACGGCTCAGGTATTTGTAAAATCTAAGTGACTCGTACAACATGGAATTCTTATAAAACAGAATTATCAACAGTGTTATAGGAGGTCGACTGTATTATTGCTTATGTTAGACAAGCTAATGATTGAAATAAAGTGCGAGAGAATTTTGGTAAGTATTCGTATAATATTTTATTCGTTATGTAAATAAAAATTTCAATATAAAATACACCAAAAAATTCTAGAAATCCATTTGTTAAAATCGAGAAACATTCTTGGAAAAATCATTTTTCCCACTCTATTCCTGTATCTTGGTTAAAATGAACCAATCTCTAATTTAATTTCGTTTTCGTGAAAATGAGAAAAGAAAGTAACAATGTATCGAAATTACAATTTTAATTGATAAGATACTTTTTTTGTCTTTCCAGTTCTAATTCTTCAGTTAGAACAGTTCAATACAGTCATAAAATTAGTAAAATAAAACGTGCGCATATTATTCTAAAATAAATATTTAAACTGAAAATTATATAAAGAAAACTAAGAATAAATGACAGTCAGATTAACAGGTATAAATTGTCATTTATAATGTTAAAAATGAAATATTCTTAAAAATATACAAAATCTCTTTCTCTCTTCATATGTATAATCGTAATGCAAACAATATTATTGCCAGCGTTTCTTCTGAAATTTACAGAATATTTAACACAGTATATATATAATATATTATACAATTAATAAATAAATATAAAATAAAATAATAAATAATATATGTTATATATATACTGTATTAATTATTCTGTATATACAGTAAGTAATTTAACACACAAAAAGTATAGAAATGACACGCATTACTGATATAAATATCTTTAATTGTGAGTATTTTTTTTCTCCATAACGTTAAATGTTAACTTCACAATTCATCGACTCCTTCATGAATCTTCCCTGAACTAAGCTTTGCCTTAACGAAGAATAAAATTTGTTACCAGAGAAGCTCTGTGCTGATGAAATCGAATAATTTTATTTAGAATTCCATGTTCTGGTAATTATAATTTATGAAAATAAAAACTTTGATTTATTGTGATTAATTAACTGTGGTTTTTTGTTAGGATTTATTTCTCAAAAATTACTTCGAACACCATGTAAAAGAGGATTCTTTTAACAGATCAACGGATAAGGGAGCAGAGTCGACGACTTTTTTGGAACAGCAGTTTACATAAGGGAACACTATTTTAAGCAAGATTTAGAAACGCCTTTAATTTTACCAGCAACAGAACTGTTTACGTTATAGTAGTTTTAGAGATTTGGCGGAATCGTCTATCAGTTTTGTAATAAATGGGCAAACAAAGATTACTTACGGAGTCATAATGAACGGGTTTTATTGGATACATGAGAAATAATTGAAATTTATGAAAGAATCATAAAAATAGGGTGAACAAAAAGTTCGCAAAAACGTTAAACATTTATAAAAAATGGAAAAAATATCGGAATGAAATGTTGTTTTTGTGGTAAGTATTGTCAACACGAAAAATTTTTATTGACGGGAAAATTCGTTCCAAAAATCACCGTTACAAACGACACTGAAAATCTTTCGATATGCTTTCTGATTGCAAAGGTACTTAAAATCCCGAGTGTTTCGATCAGGTCCTTCCACTTTGTTGGAATTGAAAAATGCTATTCCCGTCAGGTAACATTTATGCATCCGGACACTATATAGGCCTATGTAATATATTATACAATTGCACTCTGCAGTTGCAGGCATTATTACTAGGCTAAATTGTCTTATATCCTATGGTGGAGGCGATGTCCAACACTTGCTTGTCTAATAAACGCATTGAAAGTCATTTTCATCGTCGTTTGTATTTCTCTTGTATGTCAGCATCACTATCAGTGGTTTTGAAACAATTTTTCCACTCTCAACAAAATCTTCCGTTTTGACAATATTTATCACACACAAACCCTCATTCTGATAATTCTTCCATTTTCTATGACTGTTTAAAGTCTTTACGGCCCTTTCGCCTACCTGTATAGCATATAGAAGCCTACCATTATTTTGCCGATTCCATTCTTTTCCAAGAAATTACTAAGCTATAACTAGTGGAATTGGTGAAAATAATAGTCCAGACGTGAGGGGCTACAATGGGTTACCCTACTTTATTTGAATAAACAGCTCAGACGACTTGCGCAGTATGTCCACATTTCGAGAGGATCAGGAAAGGAGTGATTAACGATCAGATTTCAGCGGTCACACGACCTTACTTTAAGGCAATACTGTACTTATTTGTTTTTATACTGTACGTCCAATAAGAGAGCATTCAAACTTTTAGAGCAAGAATGTTCAATCTTTTCAGCTAACCCCCTACTATATTTATGTGAAAAAATGAAATAAATATGGCAAGGAAATATGCAAGTACTGCATTTACTGCATTTACAGATTATTCCATAAAAGAATAAAATAGACGATAGAAATGGAAAGCAATAAGTAATTACATCAAAATTGCATGATAATGAATTTCAACGTTTTCAAGTGTATTATAAGTAAATAGAGCAAATAGAGTAAATAGAGTAAAATTAATAGTAAATAGGATATAATAAATTGGAAAGAATCGAATATCATGAACAATCCGGATTGATATTGATACTTCCGATAGAGAGCATGACGCAGCAATCTTGAGGGCGTTCTTCTAAGCAGACTCGACTGTATATTCAATATTAGAACATTATAGTTTAAAAAAAAATAAAGAAAACTGGAAAAGTCCGCTCGTAAATACTTCAAAGTGTTTACTTTTTTAAAATTAAATTTTAATGATTTTTAAGTTATAGATATTAAATTTGGTAGAATCTGGAGAAAATATCTCCAGACGTTAAAAAAAGAACAAAGACAATTAAACACGAGATTAACATTTAATGAAAAATCAGATAATTTTTATTAAAGAAAACATGTCATTACTTGCTTCTCTCTAAATAAATTAGTACAAAATAAAGTCAACATTTTTTAAAAATAACAACTAGCTCACAAATTATATAATTTATATATTATATACAATTTATATAGTTTAATAGTGCATTTGTGCAAATTATACAAAGTACTCAGAGTATATAAAACAATTGTTACGGAAAAATACCTAATCAGCTGATAAAAATTCAAATGCATTATTTAATTCTTTTGTACTAATTATATTTTAAAACATTTATTTCAATTATTAAAGTTAAAGTCTTTATAATTCATTCATTAAATTTTGACATATCTTATTTCTGATATTGAATTAAAATTATATCTTATCATTATTCCTAAATTAATATAAATCTGACAATATTCTAATAGTAAATAATTTATATTTAGAGTAATTATGAAAAAAATTAATGAAAAAAGAAACGTTGAAATATCTTTGCTCTCAGAAAAAAAATTAACTTTAGGATTGGCATTAATTAATTATGAATTTTATACCAAAGTTACTTTTTAAAATTACTTTTATTACAGACATTGTAGAAAACATTAAATTAATTAATTATGATATTGTTATCAGACATTATTAGTTCATTTTCTTTTTTCTAATTTGACCATAATTTTCTTTGGCTGAAGAAAACCTTGACCCACGTAATACTCTAAAGGCAACTAGAAAGAGAATAAAATAAAACCATTATAATTTTCTATTTATTGTAAACAAATCATTTTAATTATTTCAAAAGTTCGATTTGGAATTTTGTTAATCTAAAATAATATGTTTACATATAAGCATAAAATTTTATACACAGTGAAGCGTCGAAAATTTGGTAGTTGGTGCTGAGAAACAGAGAGAAAGCAGAAGGCGATCAGTCAAAAAAGTCTATTTTTGACTGATCGCCATTTTCTACGGACCATTTTTCGATTTTGGGCACATTGAAACGTCAAGAGTTGGAGTTTTCTCTGTATGTATGAATGTTAGCGTGGCATGATTTTGTTCATCTACTTTGAGGCTTAAGTTATTCAAAGTGGATGAACAAAATCATATATATATATCATTTTGTTCATCCATTTATTTTGTTCAGAATTTATATATATATAAATTTCTAAACATGTTTAAAATTGTTAGTAAAATGTGTATATATATACTATCCTCTGAATACATTTCTGAAGTTTTGCACAGAGGATAGTATATTAGGGATATTGCTGATATTACTGGTAAAGGTCAAGTCAAGAAGGTGGGAGATAGAGGAGATCACTTTTCATATCTTCATTGTGGTCAGATGGTCAGATATAATGATTTTACTCGTAATTAAACTTCTTATTTTCCCTTTTTTATAAAAGTCATATCCACTCTCAAAATAAAGCTTTTTGCCATTTTATAATATTTAATAGTATAAAAAGTTTTTAAATAAAATATCATAACAGATGGCGCCACACACAATTTTAAACTTTTTTACCGGAAAAGTTATGTAACTCGTTCCTGGAGTTTTATATATGTATCAGTCGTGGCACTTTTCACATTTATTTTTACGAGTCAAAAGTGTCAATCTTCTTCAATAAATAAATGAGTCAAAAGTATCAATGATTCATGAAAAATAAAAATATGACGGTAGAGGTTTATTAACTGTTATAAAAATACAGTGTAAAACATTTATATTTGTTTTTTGCATGGTAATTGACATTTTAGGTAAATTTTTTTGGTAAAGACACTGCCCCACCATAAATGAATTGCAGAATTTATCTCTCTCCATAACAAAAAAATATCTTATTTCCAATTCATCGTGCAAATTAGTAGTTTTATTACTCTTTGGCACATTCATTTTGCAAATAACTAAAATGTTTTAAAGCATAAGAAAGTAATTTATAGAATAATAACGTAATCTAGGTAGGACCACATTCCTATTTCTTCCTGCTTTTTATTCAGCATCTGAGTCTGATCTTTTTTGTTTTGCCTAAATGTGAAACATAATTTAACACATGCTGTTGTATCTTTGCAGCTTCACTAAAAATTGTTTATTTATTTCTATTTTAATGTTTTAGCTAAAATATATGTATTAATATACAGAGTAGCATTGTATTGCATATTTTTAATATTTGAACAAAACAAAATTAAATAAACATTTTAATTAGGAAAAATAAATAAAATAGTTACTTTTGTTTCCTCTGTAGCTTCCGCTCGAAGATCGCGAAAGATGTAGACGAGACACATTTTTACTACCATTAAAGCAAATCTCATTCCAATACAGTTTCTTGGGCCTTCTCCAAATGGAAGATAAGTGAATGGAAGAATTGAACTTCGGTTTTCTGATAAGAATCTGAAATATCATTATGTAAAACTTCATGATAATTCGTTTCAAAAAATAAATTAAATAATTGAATATGTTACCCGTTAAAGCTCGAATGTACACATTACCTAGCTAATCTGCAGATTAACTAGCGTGATCCGTTAAAGTTGCTAAAATTGTTCTATTTCTCAAATTACCTAGATAATGTGCAGATTATCTAGGTAATCTGCAAATTACCTACTAGGCACTCGGTAAAGTGAAAATAAAATCTTTGCTGAAACAATAGCAATGTTTCTGTACGCTTAAATTAACATAATGTTCTTTATTTAATTTTCGATATCTAAAGAATCAAGTTAATACAATCAAACAATCGACAAATTAGTTGATAGAATCAATCATCAACCAATTAAAAAACATACAAAAAATCAAACGATTTAAAATATTAATACAATTAGGGAAATTATTATATAGATAACCACCTATGGAATTTCGGGACTTTGAGTATCTATCTGAACTGAGGGGACCGAAACGACTTCAACGATACCCTACTTTTGGACCGGAGACGAAAAATAATGAAGTTATCATACTTTTTTCTGGTGATCGCATGATATAATTGTGCAGGTAATGTTACCTATGGTGAGTAAAATGGCGGCTCGTCTCTGATTCCAGCAAACAGAAGAAAGGAAACAGTGGGTACGCACGTTCTGTCTTAACCTAACCTATTTTAATAAATTACCATAATTATTACCAACCAAACTATTAGAATAGGTTAGGTTAGGTTTGAACGTGCGTCCCCACTGTTTCCTTTCTTCTCTTTGCTGGAATCAGAGACGAGCCGCCATTTTACTCACCATAGGTAGCATTATCCAATTGTGCTTACTTATTAGTGCAGTCTAAAGATTGGTGACACTTTGAATTTCATAGCAATTGGTTTCTGCGACAAGCATACCTATTTGTGGTACATTTATTTGTGGCAAAGATCTTATTTTCACTTTACCGAGTGCCTAGTAGGTAATGTGCGGATTACCTAGATACTCTGCACATTATCTAGATAATTTGAGAAATGGAACAATTTTCACAACTTTAACGGATCACTCTAGTTAATCTGTAGATTAGCTAGGTAATCTTCAGATTAACGACTTTCGAGCTTTAGCGGTAACAAATACACCGAATTTATATGTGATAAGTAGTACATTAAAATAATTTGAAATCTTATTTTGTTTGAAGATATTGCATTTTGAAAAAAACAAAGTTTATATATTAATTATTGATATAAAATAGTGAAGAACTTTTACCAAACTTTACAAATTAAAAAACAAATATTTATGAACGAAAAGAAAATTCGTTTTTATTTGTGAAAAAGTATTTTGCATGTAACTATAAAAAATAATAATTAATTTGGGATAATTGTTTTTAAAGACTTACTTGATAAAACTCATTTTACCTTATACGATTTAATAAATGTATGCATACTGAATTTAAAATTATTTAGTTTGAATGATAACATTTACTTAGAATTTGGGATATTTCCAACACAAAAAATAAATGACATTTTAATATCATGTAATTTTAATATATGATTGATTACGGGCAGATGGCTGACACGATTAAGGGAATAACCTATAGCTCTTGAAAATCCGGCAGTTGAAAACCCCAGAAATTATCAAGAGAAATCTTTCCAGAATATAATGGGTCTAGTCCCTCATCACGTGGTCGCCCATATTGTAGTCTTGAAAATACATGATGGGATGATTAAATAAGTAATTAAAATTTGAATTAAGACCAATTTAAATCTCTAGCTAAAATTAAGTTATTTGAAATGAGATCAGAAACAAATTTGAGAATAAACTGTTTAATTGAGACTAATGTTTGTTATGTCAAAAGAAGAGTATTAACAAAATTTCGGACCTATATCACTAAAAGGAACGGCTAGTGATACATATATAAAGATTTTTTCAGTCGCTGCAGAGCTCAGAGCAAAGCCTGCTTTCACCTAAATAAATTTAGAGATTAATCGAGATGAGCAGTAAGTGAACAGAACTAAACTCTATTCAGGTTGCGAAAAACTATTGGAACTAATGAAATGTTAAAATATAGTAAAGTATATAGTGTGAGGCCCACCATTCCCCCCCAAAATTTGTTATTATCGTATCTATATACAGTATATATGTATTTGTGAATTATTATTTACATTATTTGTATAATTTTAGTTTTAAGCACTTTATTTAAATCTTTTTGCTAATAATGTATTTGCTTTAATTAATTAATCAGTTAGAAATTTTATTGTATTTTAAACTCTAAACACCACATGTATTTTATATCCTTTTTTTATTTTGTCTGATTGTGTAAAGAACGACAGTTAGCTCTCAGACAGGGCTCCATTTGGACCCACATCTTCGAGATGTGGGTCCAAAGGGCTAAATTCCTTTACAACCAACATTGTAAAGGAATTTCGCCTATTTTTCGATTTTAAGGACCCCTTTCCAAATTTTCAGTAATATCGATTTAAAAGAATTTAGAGAAACAAATTAGAATAAAAAATTATCAATTAACTGTTATAAATCTTACAACGTGCAAAGGAAAAGATGAAGGGAATGTCTGTCGTTTCTCCCTTTTTCGATGGTGTTATATGACCGATGGTATGCTATCCATGTCACATGGACGCACATCATTTTTCATTGGCAAAAGAGAAAGAGGACCACTAGATGACCAATCATACATTTTACAAATTACTTCACCTTCCTCCAGAACAAAAGCATGATTGGTCAAAAACAAAAAATAAAATAGAAAAAAGAGACGAAATTAACAGAATGAGACAGGATTAAGAGACTGACTGACTTGCCAGACAGAGGATTGACCGACTCAGCGATAGACCTAGTGAAGGACCAAGTAAAGAAGAAAGAAGACGTAAATGAAGAAGAGAACAGGGACAGAAAGTGAAGAAAGAGAAGACAACGCTTTTCCTAATATGTTGTGAGTCACGCAGTTCGGATAACCCCCCGTTAGGTACCCCCTCGGTACAGATAGAAGTAGGCCAATTTCTTAAATCGGATTTTATAATTTGGTTTAGAACTTTGTTTTTCGATAATAAACTCTTGTTATTTGTACTTGACTCTGCATTCATCCTCCTGAGAGGCTCATTCCTGAACTTCTGAGTGACTCTTACGCTCGCGCCTTAACTATTTTTTTCCCTCTAAATCGGAGGTGTGTCCGACAAAATACATCTGGTGGAAGGACCCTACCCTAAACTTGCGTAATCTAATTTTTGACGGCCCCCGATCTCCACAATAACGCATAATAAAGTTCTACAAACCGCAGCGTTTCTATAGTTCAGGGAATTTCCTCGATGCCGGAATCAAGTTTAAAGCCACGTATCTATAGATTCTTGTAAAAGTGACAAGTAAAAATCAAATAAATATTTCTAGTATCATCGATCGAGAAGCTCTCCGTATTAGTATTGATGAACTTGACGATATGTTAAATATCTCAAACGGGTCATGAAAATGTCCACACAATTTTGCATGACTATAGACATATTATGCGCTTTTGGTCTCGATGGGTTCCCGCTTTTGATGTCGGAGGAAAAACGTGTTTACACGGAAGTCTGCAAAGAGTTGTAATGTCTGTTGTCAAAAGTAATAGCCGACACTTTTTTTAAATAGGCAAGGACAAATACCAACATGTTGTACTTCCAAATATAACAATCACCGGACAGTTCACTGTCTTGAATACTGTCTGCAGTAAACATCTGAATCTACATATAAGTGATTGGCAGCTGCAACATAATAATACGAGCCGCATATCGCTAAAGCGGTAAATGAGTTTTTGACCAAAAAAAAAAAAAAATGTTTCGTGTGTCCGACATCCACCTTACACTCGAGTGATTTCCATATTCCATACAGCACCGAAGTCGAAGTACGGAAAACTCATTTATGGTCTAAAACAGTGTTAAAGCATCAGACGAGATTCTGAAAAACAACTCGAAAGTTGGGCTATTACGCGTCTTCAAGGAATGGAGTAATTACAATGAATTCCATGAGGAATAAATGCTTCGAAACACCACATTCACCAAACTTTAGATTGATTTTTTTTCGTACATGATAATCAGTCTAAATTTGAATTGATTGCTATAATGAATTTTTCAGTAAGCAATATCAAAACATAAATTTAAAAAGCATGTCAATGACTGAACGATATAAAACGCTGAATAAAAGAATTTAATGTAATTGAAACTTACAGATTGTGTCAGATTGAGATAAAACAGCAAACGTCTGTTATTTTACTTATTCCTATTTTCAACAGATTAATGAAACGTCATAAAAGTAAACTTTAAATTTACAATAACCAAAGACATATTTATATAATTTCTATTATTTATTTTTACAATGATATTTCTAAATTTATTCCATATTCTGTTGTTAAATAGAAGTTAAACTACTTGCCTGTCAGGATCAAACTTTTCTGGATTTGGAAAAAATTCTTTATCATAATGCATAGCATAAATAGGAATTAGAATATTCATTCCTTTTGGTATTTTAATACCTAGCTCTGGTAATTCGTATTCTTCATCGCATTCTCTGACTAATCTAAATAAATAATAAAAATAAATTCATTAAAATTATGTTTAAATCAATTATATAAAAACTATGTCCTATACCAGCGTTCGCCAACTGCGAGAAAATTTTGGTGGTTCGTGCAGAAATTTGGACATTGATGCAACTCAAGGTTACGCGAAGTATTTCGAAATAAATGAAAAATGTTCGGTTGCTTTTTCTCACTATTGGAAGTATTTTTATTAATATACTAGCTGCAAGGACCCGCTTCGCTGGGTTTTTATTTGTTCGTACATTTTTATGTAATATAGTTTTTGTTTTTTATATATAAAAAACTGTTTTTCTAAGTAATCTAGAGTCTAGCTGCAAGGACCCGCTTCGCTGGGTTTTTATTTGTGGGCAAAAAGTAACGATAGTGAAGATTAAGATAATTACATTATAGCCAATCTTACCCGTTTTCACAGANTTATCCTTTTTTAACCCCATTCCCAATAACCCGGCATTTTCACAAACTCGGCCACCCTTCGGCCCACATTAGGCCGAGTTTTCGAGGTTCTACTGTATTTATAAGCCTAACTAATGACTTTAATCTGTAATTTAAATTTAATAATCATGAAAAATATAAGTTTACGTATAAAAATCTATTGCAACTTACCACTCTATTATGAAATGTATTAAAATCTTTGACAAAAACTTTTTTTAGAATATGAGGTTCTCCAATGCAAATATTCGGTTTAAATCCCATAAATCTCCTATAAAATATTTTTTTAAATATGAATTTTAGGCATTTACAAAAATTTATTTACTATTGAACACAAGACTGTGTTATTATTAAAACACTTGGCGTTTATCCACTTTATTCAGTTGAACTAAATAAAGTGGATAAACGGCAAGTGTTTTAATAATAATACAGTCTTATGTTCAATAGTAAATAAATACGAAAACACGGTTTCAAAAAACGAATCATTTACAAAAATATTCTATTATTGAAAGTATTAAAAATGAACTATTCTTATAGATATATTCGANTGTGATACATTTATTTTTGTACATTCCAAGTTATAAACAAATAAGCTAAGTTGATAATCTTAATGAAACGTAACATTAAATTCAACTAAATTCTGGAATCGCAACTTTCAAATTGATCTTACATTCGTTTTCCAGATTTCGTCTACTTCTCGAAGTAATTTATCCTGATGTTCCGGATATAAGGCCATATGATATAAGACGAAAGCTACTGTGTTTGTGGTAGTCTCATTTCCAGCAAATAGAAACAAAGTGCATTGAGCCATCATTTCGTCGGAGCTCATAGCTGAAATTGCAGTTAAATTACGTTACACAATTTTCTTTTCTTTTTTGAAAAATCTAATTGATAACATACTTTTATGTTTCGGCAATATTTTAAAATTTGACATTTCTTCTTCTTTGGCTTCTTCTGGAGAAACTTCCAAAACACCTTTTTGTGCATCCAATAATAACTGAAGAAAATCGTAGGCTTTCTGAAAATATAAAGTTTTAATAAGTGATTGTAATTATACTTTTAAAATGGAATGTTAAGATAGGTGAATCAATTGCAAAGAGTTGTAATGTCTGTTGTCAAAAGTAATAGCCGACACCTTTTTTAAATAGGCAAGGACAAATACCAACATGTTGTACTTCCAAATATAACAATCACCGGACAGTTCACTGTCTTGAATACTGTCTGCAGTAAACATCTGAATCTACATATAAGTGATTGGCAGCTGCAACATAATAATACGAGCCGCATATCGCTAAAGCGGTAAATGAGTTTTTGACCAAAAAAAAAAAAAAATGTTTCGTGTGTCCGACATCCACCTTACACTCGAGTGATTTCCATATTCCATACAGCACCGAAGTCGAAGTACGGAAAACTCATTTATGGTCTAAAACAGTGTTAAAGCATCAGACGAGATTCTGAAAAACAACTCGAAAGTTGGGCTATTACGCGTCTTCAAGGAATGGAGTAATTACAATGAATTCCATGAGGAATAAATGCTTCGAAACACCACATTTACCAAACTTTAGATTGATTTTTTTTCGTACATGATAATCAGTCTAAATTTGAATTGATTGCTATAATGAATTTTTCAGTAAGCAATATCAAAACATAAATTTAAAAAGCATGTCAATGACTGAACGATATAAAACGCTGAATAAAAGAATTTAATGTAATTGAAACTTACAGATTGTGTCAGATTGAGATAAAACAGCAAACGTCTGTTATTTTACTTATTCCTATTTTCAACAGATTAATGAAACGTCATAAAAGTAAACTTTAAATTTACAATAACCAAAGACATATTTATATAATTTCTATTATTTATTTTTACAATGATATTTCTAAATTTATTCCATATTCTGTTGTTAAATAGAAGTTAAACTACTTGCCTGTCAGGATCAAACTTTTCTGGATTTGGAAAAAATTCTTTATCATAATGCATAGCATAAATAGGAATTAGAATATTCATTCCTTTTGGTATTTTAATACCTAGCTCTGGTAATTCGTATTCTTCATCGCATTCTCTGACTAATCTAAATAAATAATAAAAATAAATTCATTAAAATTATGTTTAAATCAATTATATAAAAACTATGTCCTATACCAGCGTTCGCCAACTGCGAGAAAATTTTGGTGGTTCGTGCAGAAATTTGGACATTGATGCAACTCAAGGTTACGCGAAGTATTTCGAAATAAATGAAAAATGTTCGGTTGCTTTTTCTCACTATTGGAAGTATTTTTATTAATATACTAGCTGCAAGGACCCGCTTCGCTGGGTTTTTATTTGTTCGTACATTTTTATGTAATATAGTTTTTGTTTTTTATATATAAAAAACTGTTTTTCTAAGTAATCTAGAGTCTAGCTGCAAGGACCCGCTTCGCTGGGTTTTTATTTGTGGGCAAAAAGTAACGATAGTGAAGATTAAGATAATTACATTATAGCCAATCTTACCCGTTTTCACAGAATGCAAGAATTAGGTCTCCCGTTTCCAGACTAATTAGAGACCTGGTCCCGATTCTATTTCTGAACGTCTCCTGTTCACGTACTGTACAGTCAAACGAACTCTTTTCAACGTTTCTGGAACGTTTACAATCGTTCTATAATCGAACCAATATTCGAATTTTATGTTCGAATTAAATTCGAACAATATTCGAACATAAAATTTGAAATAGAAAACCACTTTCAACCACTTTCAGCCCCATATCTCCCTCACCCTTATAGATATCGAGACGCAACCCCCATAGTGCACGAATGGAGACTTGGGGCTACTACCACATACAAACACCATTCACGTGCGATGTGTAGTTTTAGCGAAAAAGTGAAAAATAGGGACATACACGTCCATTTATATATATATAGATAAAACCAAACACGAAATGACTGTCATCAATAAATAATCAAGAATAAATAATGTTGTGAGTGCGGTTGTTGTCCTTTATGGAAATGATCATTATTCTGTAGATGTTTGTATCGTTTAATTAAAAAATTGATGACAATGGTCCGCGGGATTCAAAGTTGTGAGTTTAATAACTCACAATTTATAAGATTTAAATAATTAAATTCACAATTCAAAGATATAAAAAATACAGTAATATTATATTTCTATATAAATCAAAATTGCAATTTTCATTGACTATATTTGTAGTGTTATAAATATTGTTATATTTAAATTAATAAAATAAAATGGTTTCAGAATGACAAATAATAATAACAATAAATCCTTTTGCTTACTGAATTAATGCTGGTTGTTTTCTCAATGTTTCGTTGATAACAGCATCCATATATTGCATTTTATTCAGAACGTCAAAATTCATTTCATCCTAAATAATTTATTTAAAATTAAAAATAAATTTTAGAATAAAGTTAGATTGTTTTTAGTAATTTATAAAAGTTTAATTAAGTGTGATACATTTATTTTTGTACATTCCAAGTTATAAACAAATAAGCTAAGTTGATAATCTTAATGAAACGTAACATTAAATTCAACTAAATTCTGGAATCGCAACTTTCAAATTGATCTTACATTCGTTTTCCAGATTTCGTCTACTTCTCGAAGTAATTTATCCTGATGTTCCGGATATAAGGCCATATGATATAAGACGAAAGCTACTGTGTTTGTGGTAGTCTCATTTCCAGCAAATAGAAACAAAGTGCATTGAGCCATCATTTCGTCGGAGCTCATAGCTGAAATTGCAGTTAAATTACGTTACACAATTTTCTTTTCTTTTTTGAAAAATCTAATTGATAACATACTTTTATGTTTCGGCAATATTTTAAAATTTGACATTTCTTCTTCTTTGGCTTCTTCTGGAGAAACTTCCAAAACACCTTTTTGTGCATCCAATAATAACTGAAGAAAATCGTAGGCTTTCTGAAAATATAAAGTTTTAATAAGTGATTGTAATTATACTTTTAAAATGGAATGTTAAGATAGGTGAATCAATTAATTTATTTAATATATAGAAATGTAATGAGTGCTCCCCTTATCTGCGGCTTCTTAAAATATTAAATAAAAAATTCTTAAATAATAATAAAATATAAATATATAAATAATAATATTAATTAAAAATTTCTTAAATAAAAACTTTTTTTACATTTATTTTTGGCATATACACTATATGTGTATATGCTAAAAAAGTTTATGATATGAAGTTCGATATTCGTGGTTGAAAGTATCTGCAGGGAGACAGGGAGACTATCCCCGCTAATAAGGGAAGATACTGTATATACGAAATAGACTAACATTTTATAATTATACTTTGATAAACAATTGAAACTTTAAATCAAATAATAAATGTAAAATATGTAACTCATTATTAAAAGTAACTTAATAAAATTGATTAATTTATTTAAATTATCACGATAACAAAAATTTTAATAATTTACCAGTTTTTCCTTTTCTCTTTTATTAATAACATGTAAAATGAAATTCTTGTAATAGTTTAATGACTCTTCGAAAGATGTAATTTTTACAAATTTTGTTAAAGCCGGGAAAAGCACTAAATAAAAATAATAAATAAATATTACTTAAATCCATAATAATCATACATTATTTTAATAAATAATTATGATATTAAATGCAATAAATAAACTAATTATTAAATATCATCATGTCTGAAACTAATATGCATTTCACTTTGACATTAAAAATTAAAAAATTCTAACAAAAGTAAGTGGAATAGACATCTTATAATACAGGGTGTCCGAGAAAAATTATTATTATGACACAAATTCATAACCCTAAAGAAAAGCTGTCTATTGATATTCTCTGTCTTACCGCAAATCGCATAACTCACAAAGATTTTTACCTAAAATGTTTTTAAATGGTTCTAGCGGTTTGAAGACTTAAAAATGGTTGTAAAAGTACTATCTGTATTGTGGTTACCTAAAACTGTGAAGGAAAAAAGTATGGAAAGACGTCATCAAGTGTTTTTTCAATTTATTATTAGATGCAAAAATTGAAAGATAAGTGTTCAGCAATTAAAATTCAACTGCTTTACGTACTGACACTTATCTTTAAATTTCTGCATTCAAGAATAAATTGAAAGAATACTCGGTGATATCTTTTCGTAATTCCTGCGAGACTTTCTTAGCACAGTTACAGCGGTTTTGTTTCAGCTAACCATTATATAACTGCTTTACAACCATTTTTTATTTATTTCAAGCCGCTAGCATCGTTATAAACATTTGCGGTAAAAATCGTTTTGAATTATTCTTTCTTTTACCACAAACTTCATTTCATTATTTTTAGAAACACCCTGTATTTCTAAAAATAAGAATGTAACCAATGTGCTGAGTCTTGAATGCGTAACATTTCGCATTCGTAGAAAAGCAACAAACTTCACGTGATATGACATTTTACCATTTTTTTTATAATCACGAATCTCTTGGAAACATGTCGGAAATTTCAAATAAATGATGGCAGTTTTATCATATCTTTTAATTTTCTAATAGATGCCCTCCATATATTATGCTGTACTTAGTATATAAATTAATGAATATCAGCTTCATTCTTATTCTGAGAAAGACTGTAGTTATAAATACTGTACCAACCATAGTTACAACAGGAAAAGTTTCATTCAGTATTTCTCTGTTCACATACTTTTTGAGATAATTTATAAACGTTTAGAACTAATATTACAAGGAATAAGTTAATCACAGCTATAATTTAAATCCTTATATATACTGAAAAATGAGATCGGAGCAGAGGTCCGTGTAGTGTAATTTGCAACTCATCTGCACGGTTAATAGGTGTTGTGTGTTCGAGTTCCGCTCCGGGCCAATTCTTTTCTTTCAGTAGTTCTAAATTATTTAATTAAAATTATAATTATTAAACACATCTATAATGTCTATTTAGAAACGGTATATTGTCATAAATTTCCATACATAAAAACATTTTTTTTGATAAATTAGAGCAGTGTTTTTCAACCTTCTTGAATACGCAACCCCTTTACAAGTTAAACAATTCTGGCGACCCACCCAGGGCCATATTAGAACTATATTAGTGATTTTAAAAACTATGTATTTAATTTTCTTTCTGTTGAGATAAATTATTGTTGATTAAAATGAAAATTTCATAAGAATCGACAACAACTTAACACAGATAAAGTATGAAACTTCATTTAATTATAACATTGGGCACAGGGAGCCGTTGACCTTTTTTTTGGGATCAGAATTTTCAGCTTCTACTTTCTATTTCTTTTTGCAAATCAGCTCAACACTTTTTCGGTTATGATTTTCTGGCCCACGCCCCTCCCTGTCTACTCCCATGGTTGAGACCTAAATATCGATCAACAAACCAATTGTACTGTAAAATAAACAGNCCACGACTGAACTCCCAGTATTCAGGGTACTAAGACCGCTTGGCCACTGGTGGGCCAGGGTTTATTCGAATTAACAATTATCTGTATAAATTCCTTTTATACTAGGTCTTTCTTCAATAATTTGAATTGCTTGAGAATTTATATCATTAGGAAGATGAAGAGGGCCAAATATCGGTCCTTATCAACTTTGGACAAATTCATGGAGGTAGTTTGTTTCTGAAAAAAAGCTTAATATTTCAATATTGACCAAATTATCGTTCAATCACTGTTTTATCATATACAGATCGTTCGTTAATCCGTCCGCTGAAATCGATAGTTTCTATAAGCGAAATTTACTTGTTTCGTGGAAGCCGCCATGCTAGTTTGTTGAAAATTCAACCGTCTTTCATGTTGAGACCGTTCGGCTCAACGGTGAACCAACAATGACGTCACGGGCTTCAACGGACAACTCAACAGTCCATTTAGAAACGTCGTTTTCTCACTGTTGAGGTAATCGTTGATACTCTGTCACAACACGCTATTTTATTAACAAAATTTCGTTCGAGTCGTTACTTCACAAGATTTGTCAATTTGAGTCGCTACCAAGGAAGCTTTTGTTCGCTTCTTTGGTAGCGACTCAAAACCACCAAATTTTAATAAAATGAATGCCTCTTATCCACAAGCTATATAACAAGAAGACAATAGGATGTCTAAGAGTTAATATCTCAGGATGAGGTAATGATTAAGAAATAAAATTTGATAGGGTAGCTTGTGTATGAGAGGCATTGATGCTATGAAAATTTGGTGGTTAACCGGACCAATCTAACAGAGTACAGTGGGGACTTATTTCTTCGTAATATTAGTATTAAGTTTAACATATTTTGATTTTTACAGCTGTGGCGAGAAACGTTTAAAATTTACAACCTGTCGCGTCCTTTGATGTATACTAGGATGCGACAAAAGAGGCATTTGACATTGACCAGTATCGGCATCCTCGGAATTTGGCAGCCTGCGTGCATGCACCTACCAGGACCGTCTCCGATTCCATCCATAGCCACTGCAGGGAGCTATTTGACTAACAAGTAAGTGGATTGTTTTAAGATTTAAAAACTAAAGAATATTTTATGTACGTGTCTTTACAAAGCTATATTTAATTATAATTTTCTTTAAAAGTATATTCATGCAATTGAAGAATATTTTGTACCAGGTATGTACCGGTACATCCAGCACACATTTTATTTCACCAAGTTTTTATAATTTTATTTTTAATTTTAGCTCTTATATTGTGGCTTGCGATTCAGAATGTAATAGTGATATTTAAAATACATTTAGAGATGTCTATGGATTTTACTGGCTTATCGAACAAACGATACAGATGGACCCTATACCATCACTGACGCACTATTAACTGATTGCCCCTAGAAGTCGGCTTCTTACAGAAACAGCTTTCCTATCATCAAATGTCACGGCACGCCAATGATGTTTATGGGTAAACTGAAAGCTTACAAGCTACATGAAACTTATGAAAGTTTTTGTAGTCCATAAATAAAATTCACAACAATGGGAATTAATGCATTTACAGAATTGTTAATCTTCAAAATCAACTATATTCAGGAATGTTCTTTCATAGAAGAACTTTTATTCTATGAAAATACAGCCACATCATAATTTGTTCCTAAAAGTTGTTCAAAAACTGATCTGTTCTAAAAGCAAAACAAATTTTTTCCATAAACAATATAGAATGCATTATTCCATTGCTGACCCACAAAATAAAGTCCTTTTTTTTACCTTTTTAGCTGTATTGAATGCATAAAAATGCCTATAAATGCAATGTAATATTATATATAATATAATATTGCCTTTAAAGGTATTTTATGCATGAAATACAGCTAACATCGTAAAACAGGTTTTGTTTTGTATGTCAGGAATGGATTAATTCATTTTACATTGTTTCTTATAAGATAATTTGTTTCTGTTTGAGAAAAAATCAGTTTCGGAACAAATTTTAGGAACGAATTATGTTCGTAAACCGAAATTTGACTGTATTTGAAAAACTGAAACACGCTAATTTATCATGTAACGCTATATGCAGAAATTTTATTCTTAGTCCTTCTTCAGTCGATTTTTACAATTGTTTATCCAGACATTGTTCTTCGTGGGAAAATTTTACGTAATTTGTAGGAAATCAAAACTATCTATGTACTTATGGATGTTTTATAATGTTTAAAAATTAAAATTTTACAAGAAACGTCAAACATATAAGATTTTACAAGGTTTAAAAGGAATCCTTTTATGAAAAATACATTTTTATAAGTAGAATTTAACTTTATAATTATTATTTTATTATTAAACTCACCCATGTATTCGGCCATATTTGTTATAATTTTCCAGTTCTATTAAATGTAATGGCTGTGGAAATATAAATAGTTTCAAATTTTTATTTTAACATAAACATAATATTTAATATTCGATCATATTAACTTTTAATAAATTGAATGATAAATAATAAATTTTTAATTATATTTTAAACATTTTATAGCCTCATTCATTAGTTCGCTGACGGATATTTGAGTGAAGCAGACTTCTTAGTGGAAAAGTAAATGGTCCTATGGAAAGCAGGCAACAGTACATTATCGGATAAATCCAAAATCTCAAAAATGTCAAATATTTGATGCTAGATGAAGAATAAAATTTTAACGTTGGATGCTGTTGCGCAATGGCTCAATATCCATTGACAATGAACTGATGGCAATGTCTAGCTGCGATCAAACCAATAAATTTTAGTAGCTATTGTTTAGACTATTTTATGTCTGCTTTTCCACAAAAGATATTTATTATTACATTTAGAGAATAAATGGTTTATTAAACTATACATTTAATGAAATTTAATAAAACGATTTATTGAAATATTTAAATCACGTAAAATGAAAGATTACATTGCTTAAAATATTTAAAAATCAAGTAAAGAAAAATAAAAACCATAAGAACAAGATTTTTTATCATCAGTTTTTGAAACATATTTTAAAACTTGCAATCTTTTTTTCATTGTTTCTAATTGATAATTTCACTTCCGTGTTTGTCATAACGTTTGGGTTGTGCTGTTTCCTTAGATACTAACCTCAATACGCAGCCATAAGTCTTTGGTAGTGGATATAGAAACACTTAAAACTAACATTTACGTGTTTCAAAGAATAATA